CATTAAAGGATGGCTTATATATTTTTAATATGAAAATAATTTTATGAAATATGTTTTAGGTTATGTACATATATATTTATTTGGGTCATATGATCAAATTATTTTTTGAGTAAACATTAGATTTTGCAATTAGTTTATGATGATCAAGATCAAGTCACCTTACAACTTATGAATCATCAAGTTTCATTTAAACAAAGGTCTTGAGTCATTAAAACTATTTGCTCAAATTAAGCTGTTAAAGCTATTTTAAAAATCTGTATGAAATTAGCTTAATAATATTAACTATTATTAATAAATTAATATTATGATCTCCATTAACTGAACTTTAATTTTGGCAATATTAATAATAGTTTCACCCACATAAAATCTAAAATGTTTCTGTGGCCTTGGTTGATTTAGGTGGGCCTTTGAGACCAAACTCTGTTTGGAGGCCCATACTTTGTAAGTCACTCTGCGCAAAGCCTAACAAGGCCCATACTTTGTAAATCCCCATGGAAATGGAATGCTAGAAAAAAGAAAGAAAGAAAAAAACGTCAATATATATTTGATAAACTGGAATGTTAGTCTATTAAACTCAGTGTGTACGCAAATTTTTAGATAATAATGAAACGTTTAAATCTTATAATTTGATGAAACTAACCTCAACTTATAATAATATCACCCTAATCTCGAAAAGCACATGAAAACTCTAATTCATATTTTTCCAATTTCATTAAATTCTCACCAAATTAGTTGTGTCACACTCAAATTCAAAAATATGTAAGTTTATTTTATTAGGTAGGATGCTATACATGGAAACACGTAAGATTTGGGTGATATGATCATTATTTCACCAAAAATCTTTTTGAGTTGACAATCAAGATTAACAATATGCAGTCTAAGGCAGTATTACATTTTCTCTCTCCCTCATCTCTATCCACCTCTCTTTGTGTCAACACATAAGAGTTGGACAACTATGCATATACATATTCCACAAAATAAGCAATGTGACTGCCCTCTACTAGGTTTTCTCAAGTGTTGTCTTTATCCTCCTATGTTCTTGGTATTTGATTGTTTTCAATGTGAATTTGAGAAGGATTCTCTTGTGTGGTTATCAGTGCCTTCGGTGCAGGCATATGGTTAAAAATCTTTTTCTTCTTACAATGAATCCTCGTTTCAAGCCATCACTAAACAAGGATATGTAAATCTAGTTATGGCGGTGTTTTAAACCCTATAAACTTTGATGTTGTAATGTAATTGGATTAGAATGTACTCATGGCTAAATACTATTTCTCATTTACATTGACTGGTTGATTCACTACAAATTAACCTCAACTTGATATAATCAAATTTTTTTCATCAAGATTTGTGCTTATATGGAGCTTTTAATTTGACTATGTTAATTTATTTTTCATAGTAATATCCAATAAACAAATAATATTGATTGCACTATTATTTTTGTTCATAAAAGAGGTGCACTCCTGCAAAATGTAAAATAGAATTTTTTTTTTTAAGATTACTCATGAACTTTTAGTTATTTCTATCTAAATTATATTGTTCGAATGAGATTTCAATTTATTAATTATAAAAGCTTAGTTTTTTTTATTTTTTAAATTATATGAAACACATCTCCAAGCAGATCTTGCTATGGCTAATTTCTAGGCTATATTATTCTCCTGCTCTTTATTAGATGGATGTTTAATATCTTAGGCTCTATTGAGAATGATTTTTTAAAAAAGTTCCCTTTTGAAAATGTTCATAAATATTGTGCTTATAACTATTTATTTATTTATTTATTGGTTAAAACCCACTGACGGGCCTACGCGTTAATACGAAAAAGCGGTTACAAAAGTCCTTAAAATGACCCTCCAGCTCACTACTGCTCAAAAGAGCTACAATGAAAAATAAAGAGAAAACTAAGAGCCAGTGGGACCTTCTCCTAAGATTACAAAAAGACGATAAATAAATAAACCAAACACAACAAACATTCATCTTTAAATACTCCATCCTAATATGCTAGGTATTTGAAATAATCCAAAAGCTCCAGACGGGCCAAACTAACCCCCGAGAAAGAAAGTAGAAAACGGTAATAGTAAAGATCACCACATCAATAATCATAAACCTGGCATCAACAAACAACAGGCAGAATGGAAAAACCAGAGCAAAAATAGACCTCCCAGGTTTATAGCAGCTATGAGCAATAGAGGAAATCACCACATCAATATTAACATAGGCAACAAACAACAACAGACAACAGAACAAAAACTGATCCCCAGAGACCAGCCACAAAGAACAACCATCCCCAACACCAAAAACAAACCAAATAGTAAAAACCAAAGAAAAAAAGAAGACAAGATCAAACCCCAAAACCCACCAACAAAAATTAATCATGATGAAAATAAGGAAGACCAGCTTTGTCCAGAGAGACCATGCCTTCGAGAGGGGAAGGAAAATCCCTAACATAAAACTCCTGAAAACAGATGCTTTGAGCCCCAGTTTTAGCCAACCAATCAACACAGACATTCCCTTCTCGATAAATATGAGAAATCTTATAAGACATCTCACCAAGCATCATCCTAATTTTCCTAATAGTATAAAAGTCATTAGGATTACCAATAATATTCTCAGAAATGACATGAATCACAGTTTTAGAGTCAACTTCAATGATTACATGATGATAACCCAAATTCAGACAACATTCCAAGCCAAAACTCAAACTCCTAAGCTCAGCAGACACAACAGAACAAAAATCTAGAGGCCCAGCAAAAGCATCCACAGGATTTCCATGATGATTACGAATAATCCCACCAAAACCCACAGAATTTAAAAGTTTGTTAGGGATGTTAAGCCCTATAGAACTGGCCCAAGCTAACCAAGAGAGAGGTGAATTGAAAAACTTTAAAACCCAAGATAAAACTCCAACCAAAATCACCACAAATAAAGTGCGGAAGAAAAATAAATGCGGAAG